AGCGGCTGTGTGTTTTGTTCAAAAGCACAATACAGAGCAACAAATGAGTTGTAATCCTTTTGAGAATTTCGCCTTCAAATGTCTGTGTTTGATTTTATTAGGGATCACAGGTTGCCACGTCCAATTTATATATTAACAAGAATACTGTGGATATTCTGTCACCACTTCTTCTTTATAGGAATAGTTCAACATTTTGGAAAATACACCTATTCACTTTCTTACATAGAGTAAGAAGACTGATACTACTCACACATCTGGCCAAATATGCAGCTAGAGCCATCAGCCTGTTAGCTTAGCTTAGTATAAAGACAGAGGGGAACGTAGATCAGTCTTGCTCCGTCCAAAGGCAACTAAATCTACCTGCCAGCTCTAAAGCTCACTAATTAACACATTAATATCCCTCATTATATCCATATAAACCTGTTTTAAATTAGCAGTTCTTCTTTGTGCCGAGCTATTTCTTGACTGGAGCCAATAGCTTTACTGGAATCTCATATATATATATATATAATCTGCATATTTCCTGAAAACCTCACATTGATGAAAAGATGCCTGTTTCCCCGTCTTTATGCTAAGTTAAGTTAGCCATGCTGCTGGATGTGGCTTCATATTTAATGTATAGAAATAATACTGTGATCAATCTTCTCATCTTACTCCCGACAAGAACTATTCCTTTAATAAAACTGAAACTTTGGACTAACAGAAACCCACGCTGAGAAAACATCTGTCGGCCCCTGATCTCCAGGCCGCTCCCTCAGCTACAGCAGGGAATCACAGTCTGTTCTCCTCTGTTCAACAAGCAGATATGTTTACACATGCATCAACGTATAGAGCCTCACATATTCTTTCTAGAAAACCGAGAGAAGCTCACATAATTGGTTGTCGGGAATCAGGGCAGGAAAGTTGCTCTCTGCAAGTTTTTGTTTTAAGTCTTGTGGCGCAGAACAATCACTGAGAAAGTAAACTATTCAGGCGCATATCCTCTTCATTACCAATTGTGAGCATAAATTGTTTACCTCAGCTTTAGGACTAATCCACTAAGACTGAATCCCTCGCCGGAGTTTTCTAGGATGGAATTTATTCTCTCTGCTTGCCTGACAGGAAATGATAGCAGCATTCTCCGTGGACAAACTGATAAATATTCAAAGTCGTGCTATTTCATTTTTTTTTTTAAAGTCAAAGATTTAGATTGTATTCAAATACATGAACATAATCTCATAGAACTCTTTCAGTACTGTCAGTTTTATAGCACTCTAATTTGGTCAGTTTTCTAATTCAGCACATTCAGAACTGTCCCGGCAAACCTTTGGTGATCCAGGGAGTGTATCAGTCCCCCAAGTTTACAGCGAAATGACGTTTCGTGAGACCATTCTCATTTGTATTCTCATTTGAATGTCGCCCTCTTGGATCAGTTGGTGCTGAAATGACACCCAGAGGAATTTTAAATGCCAAACTGAGTCTGTATGCTGCAGCACCGCCGCCACCTGAACATATTATCTGCTGAGCTTCAAAAGGAGTTTGCCCGAGGTTTAAGTGTAACGATAATCCACTCATGTGTTTCTTTGCCTTCTCTTTTTTCTCTTATTTCCAGAATGGACACATCTGTTGCTCAGTGGACCCCATGTGCCTTTAGTCCTGGCAGATCTGAAGGCACCTGTACAGTGTTCTCCATGTAAAAAAAAAGTAACACCACCCCAATGTCTCCTCACCATCCTCCTCACAGGCGTGGGTCAAATAGTGTTTGCATTGTTAGGATTTGTTTTAGCCTGCTGAACCAGATGGATGGGGGTTACTGATCAGGATACAGTGTCACATTGTCAAATACAAACAATTGTGCAAATTTAACCTTCAGGTACTTTCTGCTGATTTCTAGCTCTTATTGTATGTTCGACGTGGTAAACCACACCCATCTAGTACCTCATGCACGTTAAGTGTTTCGCAAATACTCTGTGACCCCCGTCTGCCTCCTCAACTCCTCTTTATACCAAATGCAAACCTATGTCATACCAAACAGATGGACTACAGTTCCCTCGAACCCACTCTTTGTTCTGTCTCACCACTTAGAGTGAACCTTTAAGGATCACCATTCCCCACTCCGAACCATCGCTATATAATTCTGTAAGATATTACTATTACTGGCATGACTGTGCTTGATGTCCAAACATTTTTGCTGATTTCTAAATCCTCAGTGATGATGATGATACCTTAGATAGAGTAAAGGCAGTTAGCATAAGGTTCCGTTGCCACATTTATGAGTCGTCTATATTATGTGGTGCTTTGTAGCATTTTGTTCCATTTCTCTTTTTTGTAATTTTTTTTTTCCAAGCTTGTTATTGTGTAATAGTGAAATAAAGTATTTCCATTTACATTTAATTCTTGTCTTTGGCTTATGTATGAGTGTGATTTATATGCAATTCGTATTTGTATGCATTTGTTCGTTTTAAAAATATACTCAGTTGCCAGTTCATTAGGTGCACCTTATTAAATATTTTTTCCTAAATTTAATGTAGTGTAATACAACAGTCCTGCTATAAATCGTACCTTCATGAGGGTTATAATGTTAATTTATTGTTGAAAATGTTTTAGAGAGGCGTTGATTCAACTTAATGGTCATTTTGGATGCTGCATTTTGTGGTGCTGTTGAATTGTGTTTTGTATCACCGACAAGTTTTTCCATTATTTTGTCCAACCCATTTATTGTATTTCAGTGAGGGTTAGCTAAATAATGGGAACACCTGTCAGTATAGTGTTATTCAGCTCAACAGCACCACAAACTGCACCCAAAATGCTCATAAAGTTGACTAAACATCTCTATAAAAGAAAACCTGAAGATTATAACCTTCATGATGGCAGTATTTATTGCAGTAAGCAGTCATTCAATTGGCTTGATATGAAGATTTGGTACTGTGGTCTTAAATACAATTTCACCACTTTCGAAGGCAACACTCACAATACATCATTTACCAACACTTTTTATTAAGAACAAATTAACCATTAACAGAGCTATTGGTTACAACTTATAAAACCTTTATAAAGTGACACATTTACACATATATTAATGTTAATTTTCCTTCTCTCCTTCTCTGCAACTGTCATTTTCAAAGCCTGTACATATAATCACATACACAAAAACAGTTATACATACAGTAACAGTATATACCTGAATTATAGAGGAGTCTGCGCATTGAAAAAGCCTTCGTAAAGGAATAAACAAGTTAAGTTTCAAAATCCATTACTGACCTTGCAAACACAAGTTGACAAAATAATCTCACCTTATCTTCAGTTTGCTTGGACCTTGAGGTGAGAACGTTTTGTCAACATCTTATTAATTTTGTACTCAGTCACCTTGTATAACAAGTAAATAATATTTTCAATCTTCTACATTTGTGTTCCCTTCAAAAGTACAAAAATCTGTAGATGTGATGGCAGTTGGCTCGTGTAATAGTTCGTTCAGATAAACTTTAATACTTCATCATTATATTGTATTTATAAAGGAGTAAACATTCAGGATATATGTAGCCTTTGTGGGCCCTGCTCTTTAAACAGTATGTATATGGAATTAGGATTATCAATATTTGTTACCATCTGCTGCGATTAGAGATTTTGCCTCCCTCTAGCAGACACCAATTTGGGCAATATACTGTAAGGGGTATGGTTAAGTCTGTAAATTAAAAAGGAAAAATCAAATTTGTGGTCTTCATAGATCCAATACTAACAGCGTTGTGTCATGATTTAGATTTTAATTGAGGTCCCTGTGTTGAATACACTTCAACATCCACATATTTGGATGCAGAGCAATGACTATCCCAGTTGTAGCACACAGATTCTTCTCCTCCCTACTTTGTTCTGTGCCTCTGGAGATGGTAGTAATACTTGTATCGCAGAAGAGCACTTAAAGCTCCTAATATAATTATCTATCAGTTCACAGCCACGGACAAATGAGTTCAGCCTGAAGATGGCTTTATTTCCCTGTGGAGCAGTCTCTCTCCTACCAACCGATTCCCTGACTCTACCTTGCAGCTGCTTACATTAACAAACACACAACGTAATAGGGCCCATTTATATTCCAACACACTCTCCGCTCACTTGAGCTTTTTCTGCTCCACTCTCCCTCCCCAAAAAACTTTTTTACCTCAGGTTATCAGGACTCCAAACTCATCCCTGAGTTGAATGATAGGGCAGGGGACATAGGCAGGGGACATGGGCAGTGGACAGTGGGCAGTTCGCAGTGGCTGCTCGTAGGTTGGCAAGGGCACCATCTGGCCTGCTTTGGTCCAGTGGCTTCTAGCTGGTGGTGGCATGAAGCCAGTGGGCACCTGAGTAGTGGTGGCACAGCAGGGCAGACTGGTCCTCCAGCTGGCTCCTAAATGTTCAATTTTCCATGGCAGTGCTGAACCCTCTGCAACAGATGCCTGGACCCACAGGGAGTCCACTTCACTGCCTGTCCTATATTCACCGTTAATGACCACACATATCATTGTGATTGTGGCTGGTGAAGCAAGGCAACAGAGAAAAGTCAGTTTTACTTTAGTAGAGAGTTTAAATTGATAAAAATGCATCAGTGTGCAATATTTTGTGCTGCATGACAGTTCTTTCATTTCGTTTTCAGTGATCTTCCATTCTTCAAATGGTTCTAATTGGTGTGCAAAATTCACTGCACTGCTAAAGAGATCTCTGTAGAGGAAAATTCTGTCAAAGGAGAGAACAGGAGCATGGAATGAATCAAATTCATATGTATATGTTTTGACTTGGTAGTTACCATCTATGCAGTAAGTGTAGTGTAAAGCATTTTCTTGTAGGATTACCTTGCATTACTGAGGGTAAACTCTGTCTATCTGCTTGTCAGTTTACAGAAATGTGCAGGATTGACTGAACGCACAAACATATAGAGCCTCAGCCAAAACAAGAAGAGAACTCACTTTGAATTGCCATATTTGTCTGTATGAAAACAAATACATAGACAAGTACAAATGCTCCACAATCCCACAGTACCTTTGGATTTGTTTTTCAGATTTAACTGTGGCTGCAGCTGAAGCTGAAATAATCGAAAATAGAACGGATTCACTTTGATTACATTTCTCTACAAATTTAACTATTTGCCAAATGTTCTCATTAGTTCTTTCCAAATGTAATAAATTACAAATCAAACTGTCCTGCTGCTGTAGCTGTATCCTGATATTATGTCTGGAAACGAAATGATATGTTGGTACTGATGAACAGGATAGGCTTTGTTAGTTATATGACTGATGCAGCATATGCTGCACCTTTTAGCCAAGGTAGTAGCGTCTAAGGATGGCAATGTGGTTCGGTCCACCACGGTCTATAATATCCCAATGAATATTGTACGGACTGCAATTCAGCTCATTAAAGAATAGACCTTTGTGGTCCCCAGGTGATGACCTTGGTGATCCCTCGACTTTCCCTGTAGCGCCACCGTCACGATTACATATCTGGGTTTTGGTGAAATATCTCAGCAACTTCTGGATAGTTTACTAAGATACACACATTCATGCCTCCTCAGGATGAATTACAATAACATGACCCAGTGACTTTTCATTAAAAACAAAATGCAAAATAATTGACATTCCCATCAGATAATGTGTTTTGTGCTAATTACAGAATATTAGCATGGTAACACACTAAACTAAGATAGTCAACAATTGTATGGTAAACAATACCTACAGCCTCACAGAGCTTGCTAGAGTGGGTCTAGACTTTTAAGCAGCCAGTATGCTTCTTTACAGTGCTTATGAATGGTTGAATAGCTTCGGAACCAGCCTCCAAGCCACCTTTCAGATGTCGGATGTGTGTCTAAACTTGACTCTATTAAATCTTTCCCCTCTCTATGACGGCCAGCTTTCCACCTTCCAGTGTCGCCCTCTGGAACAACTATTAACACTTTTGATTTCTGATGTGGTTGAGCATACCCCCGACCCTTAGAGTTCTTTCCCTTTATGTCATAATTGGAGATAGATATCTCTATAGATAGATATAGATAGATATTTTTCAATAGAATTTTTTGTGGATGAATTTGAAGTACTGAAAAGCCACGTTTTAGGATTATATGGACAATGCACAGAAACATTTAGTTTGCTGAAGAAGACCGGGAGACGCAGATAGATAAAAGCTAAAAGTAAGTGGACCTTGAGTTAAGATTTCTGTCAAACTACATTTATGTTTTGTTTCAATGTGTTGCAAAAATGTGGCTTTTTATTGCTTCAAAGTCCTCTAACAAGAAAAATGTGTTGAGTCCTAATTTAATAGCAACAAGTAGCTGGATTGTTTCCACAAAGCCCTTCAGCAGTGCAAACCTTAGTCTAAATATTCACCAATGAATTCTTCATTTAAAAACAGATCCCCTTTCCCCGACAGAGAAATAGTAAGGAAGACATCATTATCACAAACCCATGTGTGGGGATTTTGTCCTCAAAGTGAGTTGTTGGATGTGTTGAGAGTTTTATCAGAGCTGCATGTTCCTCTGTAAGGTATCAGAAACCTGCAGAAGGAATTGGTGATGAATTCTGTTTCCCTTGTGGTCACTGGGGACACAAACCATCTCCGGCTCGGTAAAAGGACAGAGGGTAGAACCTGCTAGCTGGCTGAGACTGACTGCACTGATAAATTTCACAGGGCCTCCCAGAGTCACGGAGCTGTCAGCACAGAGTGATGGGCCATGCCAGGACATGATACACTGATCTAATTGGAGGATAGCTCGGAGACAGTAGAGGAGATTCCAGTTGATCTGTAGCTGTGGCGATCCTCCTCTGGGGGATTTTTCTGGTTTATATTTAGCTATAGATACAACACTAGCAGTTACATTTTTTTTAAGAACCAGTGCTTGTGTCATTTCTGATTTATTGCTAGAAGATATTTACTATTCAAATAGTAAATATTGTGAAATGGTTAAAAAAATGCCTCCAGAAAGTTCCAAAGGCACGAAAAAGGAAGCTTCTTCAAAATTTGATTAGAAGCAGAATGCAATCGATCGCGAACGCTACCTACACAAATGCATTCACTACATTGAGGAAACAGTCAATACACTGGTAACACAACATGGGCATCAGGTTCCAACACCCCACAAACATTTTGGAAACCCCGGTTTTGATGTGTTCTCTCAATTACTGCATGGTCCTCCAAAAATCAATAACTCATTTCTCAGCCCAATGGCAGACTTGGAAGAGGCCTCAGTCAAAGAGCTAATACTCCCTGGCAATGAGATATATTTTCTCAGACAAACAACAAGCAACAGTAAATCCAAGGTGATAGTACAGCTATTTGGTTTTTACACTGTAGGTATTTTTTTCATACTAAGTATTAAGGACCTAGCTGATGCTCTTATTAGGGATAATTTACAGTGAGTGGTGAGGCAGGGTTCAGTGTTGTGGATGCAATTACACTTCACAGAATACATGGCTACTGATGATGGACTGCTGCAGAGATTAAACCTGCGGTATCGCAGTCACAGGTTAGTCCTTTTAACTGCTGCTCCAGCAACAGTCTTTCATGGCTCTCTCTCCTCTGTACATTACCCTAAATCACTGGTGTTCAACCTTTTGGGCTTCAACCCTTAAAAAAAAGGGGTTATGGTTAAACTGGGTGGCACCCAGTATAGAACAAAATCAGTGGTGATTAAGCTAGATGTATGATCTTTTGTGCTTTATTTAACTGAAAACCACAAATGTCAGCCTCAAGGTGCTGCTACAGGAAAAGTTGTGATTAGCAAAAACATAATTCATCCTTCAGGGAACGTGAATGTTGTACAAAATTTGGATGACTTTGCCATCCCTAGAGCACTGCCTCTTACATGGCTAAAACACAGATATTAGAAAAAAATACTATTAATTATAATAAATAATATGAATCATGATAACAACAATAATAAATAAAATACAAAATAATAATAGTAATATTAATAATAACAATTTTCCTGATTTCCTATTTTAATGATCATCTTACGACCTGTCAGATTTATCTTACGACCCCTTGGAGAGGTTCCAACCATGGTTTGGGAACCACTGCCTTAAACCAATTCAGTCTGTGATCGGTTCACTTTTCCTTCCTCAGACGTTTTCAATCTAATCTATAACTCATTTACACATACACACGTCCTGTAAACAAATCCTTTGGGGGAAACACAACAAATTCAAATTGTTTCCCCCTGGCATAAATCAAACAGTAGACAGGCCCAGCGCAGACTCCGACTAATCTGAGCCAGGTGTCATGTGTATGCAGGCTACATATTCAAGTGTCCTTGTAAAGATAGTATCTTTATTTATCATATCGGCCATATTAATTGGGTCAGCAGCTGCAAGAGGTTTGACCTGTACTATTATTTGGCAATGATTTTCCAAGCATATAGAAAACAAACTATTCTCACTGAGAAATACATAACCTTCAAAAATATCCTAATATTGCTGAATCTCACAAAGGGGTCAAAATTATATAGTATATAACAAATGTATTAATTTATTGGTAACACAAGGCTGAACAGATGTACAGTACACTGAGCAAACACTGAAAGGAGATTTTCTCCACTTTAAAAAACAAAAACAAAAAAAAGCACAAACACACAGGAAAGGTCTGAACACAATTCAATGAAAATAGAATGAACAACAAAGAGGAAACCCTTACTTTCGACCCAAACACAATATGTTACAAACATATTAGACCCCCTTCAAGTCCAAAGAGGTTCTGCCCTTTGGTGAAACACTAATATCTAATGTGTTCATAGCGCTGTAATGTATAAAAGGATAATTACAGAACCCAGAGCTGCGAACCAATTATGCTAAATAAACTGACCTCTTCACAGAATGGCCTTTGTCAAAAACAAGTGTAGCAGCAAACACCTACGCACTTCACAAGCCTCCACTGCACACAGGAGCACACACACACAGACAGACAGACTCACACACACACAACATGCACTATTAAGTATAAAACATTCTTTACAGACAAAGATGTACACATCTGTCTCCATAGTGTACACACATACATGCACACACATTCACAGGAAATTGCTGTAAGGTGCCTGGAGTGTCACCGGAAGAATTATTAACTGTTTTATGTAATCAATTAATAAATTAAAACATAAGAAAATCTATTATAAATGTATATCATTAAATATACATTTAAATGGTTATTAATTAAAAATAAATAGATACATTTGACAATAATTCTGCTTCCTTTGTCATTTAAAGACAAGATAATGATCTTCTAAGCATTCTTTTACTTTGGTATATAAATATATATTTATAGTATATTAAAGTATTTCTGATTCTGATTCTGATATAAATGCCAGCAAATTTAATAGAATTATTTAAAATAGCTTTTTAAAAATTTAATCCATTTATTAATTGATTACAGTTGAACATTGCAACAATTCTGGTGGGACACCCCAGGCTACGTTACTTTGAACGCAAATAATGTTGAACAAAATTCTGTCAGGACTGAGGTGTTGGGGAGCAAAAGATGTAGTTATTTTTGATAGACTCCGCTTTTCGGGAAATAGTTTTCCAGGATATTATAGCACATTACACTCTATTATAATGCAGAGTGATGCAAGAGCACATAATATTCCACTTTGTCTATCATGAATATATCTCTTTTAAATAAGCATATCATCTGATGCAGCAATATTAAAATTTCAGAATTATTATTTGGTATCTTTGGTGATAATTCTATGCAAAGTGGAATGTGACAAACTTATATTAAACAACAGTTAGTAATGCAGTAATAACTGAGTTAGTATTTCAGTTAGTAGACCAAAAACTCCAGATATATGTATTTTAAAGAGACTGTGAAGCACAGGAAAATATGTAAAAAGGCAGCCAACACTTTCAAAAGCCAGTGTAAAGATAAATGCTGCAGGTTGTTTTGTTTTTTTACAGTAGGATAAAGTTTCAAATAAATAATTAATTTCTCATGCATTTACCATGATGGCAAAACTGCTTTTAAAATGTTTAAGGTTTATCTAGACATAAAGAAGCCCTGAGCTTTGGAGCAGAAGCCTTCCTTGCACTTCAATGGCATGTTTATGCCAAGGGCAAAACCACCTTTCTGACTTTGTTGGTATTCAGTCCAGGTGCAGCAGCCACATAAGCAATCATGAGGTGGCTTGTTGGTTTGCTTTTTGATCTGATTGCATTTATTATCTCTGCTACTAATATCAAGTGAGAGGATATGAATACGTCACTGATGGTACATTGATGTTCATGTCATTCCAATGAGACTGAGACGTTAAAATTGAGTAAGACAGACGTGAGAACCGACATGAGTATAAATTAAAATGATAAAGTCTGAGGATCAAATGAGGTAACAATTGTCCGTATAATATGAAAGCATGTATAAGACATTAATATAGCAGACCGTAACTAGGACATCTTCCATTTTGTTGCCTATAGTAGTATAGACTGTCAGTATATGTTTCTGTCTGTATCTGAACATATGAAATATCAAGGCACTAGTGTAGCTGTAACACAATAAAATCCACCTGACTGCAGTGTTACGACTGTAGAAATACTCCTCTGATATAGGCACCACAATAGTTTACCATGCCAAATTGAGTTATGAAAATGCAAAATCCAAGCGAGCACCATGTCAATTAAAAGTTTGCATTCTGTTTTAAAAGATGCGTTATCAGAATTGGTGCAGTTTTTTTAAGCTTTTAAAAAGATTATTTTGAAAACAATGAATTGCTTTACAAAAATATATTCAAACAAATGTAACTGCAATAGCCGTAAGGACTGGCTTGGTGATCATGTGACGTCACCTTGTCCTTTTCTTGAATCTCGTGAACAGTTGCGTTCAATGTCTGTTGCAGCTTGGTCCTGTCCCGAAGAACAGCAACAATTTGAGATCTTGACAAACTACATCTCGAGTTGTCATTTTCAATCTGTCCGCAGTTGTATAGCTCAGAGTTTCAGAGGTTCATAGGTCACGGGGAGAGCTTGTGGACATCAAAAGAGACTGCCGGTTCCTCCTGTTCCGCACTGTCAATCACAATGCTCGGATGTGTCTCTTGGGTCTCCATGGAAATAGTAGAGTTCGTAGAAGGCGTCGCCCCAAAGTGTGGCCCATCCACCGAGAGCAGCATGGGTGTCCCCGATTGTTTGAGACTCTCGCTCATGGTCACAGGAGTCTCCTCCGGCGTCACGCCCATCTCCTTGCTGTACTCCGACGGCGACTTCCTCTTGATCCTTTCATATGTCTTGTCTTGGTTTTCCGTGAAGGTCTCGCTGTCCTGAAATCTCCCAAACAGCCAGATGAAGAACCCGAAGAGGACGAACGCCGCCAGGCTCGGGATGAAGGCCAGGCACTTCACGTCCAGGCTGGCTCCGACGTAGCGGCTGTGGAGGAACATGTCCCGCTCCACGTAGGTTGAGTTGGTGTTGGGGTCGATGTTGGTGGAGCGCCACTTGTAGGTGAGGGTGCTGTGGTTGAAGTTAATGAGGGTTTCTGGCTCCTCCACTGTGTAGATCTTCTCACCGGGCCCGACGTACTGACCATACTCATAGGGCTTGTAGAAGATCTGGTTCTTCCACATGTTGAGGTCCAAAATCAGCACGATTAAAATTATACCGTAGTTGAACCACTTACCTGTAATGAGACACGTGACTTGTGTTAGATTAAAAACAAGGGTATGTTTGACAAATAAGCAAGGAATAAACATGCATGCACTGTACAGGTCATTTAACAGACAAGCAGATTGATGTATATCACAAGTCTACTCCAAACAAAATTTAGAGGGCAGTGTTAGACAGACAGATACGCTGTCACGTTCAGAAATCCTTCCCCCTTTGCATATAGCTTACGCATTGAGACAGATCCATTTGCGAGTCCCACCAGTATCTTCTAACGAGATCAGTACATTACCACGAGACAGTCATCTCCCCAGGTTGACTGATAGCAGGGAGATGTCTCCCCGGGTATACGTGACACCTCTTCCCAATCCTACCCCCACGAGATATGCTGTTAATAAGCTTTTAGTTAAACCAATCACGTTGCGCCGGAACCATTTCCATAATGTTTAATGGATATGCAATGCATTAGGGTTAACAACCTTTTGCAAGTCACTGAGCGTTCGAACAGCAACATTTAGCACAGGAACATTGGTTTTGCCTTCTCTTTAAGGTTGTGAGTTGCCGTGTGCATGAGGTGGAACAAAATGGAGAAACCGGGACGACGGTTTCAAATGGGAAATATAGTCACTCACCGAGAACATTAAGACGCGTAGATGTGAAAGATGATGAGAGATGTGTCTCGCACGACAGAGAGGAACGAAAAGAACAGGAAATGCAGTTGCACCGGTGGAGCCACCTGCGTGCCAAATCAGCTACACATGTATAATAAATGGTTGCTGCGGTTTAACCATCAAAGTGTTTCCCCACACGGAGGAAAATGGAAAAGTAGAACAGGCAGAGTATGTTTAATATTCACAATACAATTCATAATAGGCCAAAGTTTCTTTCTGCCATTCAATCAGTTTATAAATATGGGTGTTAATTTACTTTGTTTACAGCTATTTAGGAAAGGTAGAGTTGCTCCTCATGAAACGATGAGATGGCCCTGTTCTTTTTATGCAGCAGCTGTGCCCGTGTCTGCCTGTACCTGTGATATGAATGTGGTACTCCTCTTTAAAGATACTCTTGCAGACAGGAAGCTTGACCTTCACATGCGTTGTTGACATTCCTGGTAGATTCATATCCAGGTCACCCATGAAGTGAGGGAACTCCCAGTCCTGAAACACACACACACACACACACACAGAATAATATGAATTTAGCTTGCGACTAATTTAGCCTGAGCTGTAGAAAACCGAACACATTTAAATAACCGGATCTGTGTGACAAATGTCAGCAATGTTATCGTGCTTTACTGGATGTTGAATACTTCACTGAACTTTCTCATGTTAGCTGATGTTAAGTCTCTGTGGAGTCTCTTCATACACTGACTCGAGGTCAAACATGGTGCCAGCCACTGTAGACTACGCTGTGTGTTTACAGGCTTGTGGAGTGTACTAATGTGCACAGGGATTTAAACACGTCAAAACACATCAACAGGCACCCCAAACTGACATTTAGAAGCTGCCCATGCCCTATGGTGTCACTTAGCTCCTTTTGCTAGTATGTGGTTATATTTGGTGGCAAGTGACTTTTACAGAAAAGCAGTCGCTGCTCTTGATGGGACACACAAGCAATGTGGCAATGTATCTCCAAAACATCAACTTTTCATGGGAAATGTATTTTTCAGTAAATCCAATACAATTTGAAATGGCTTATTTTATTAACCCTTCATATTATTTTGCAACTTGTGTGGGGCCTGTAATTGAGGTAGATAAATAAAGGAGTAACTATGTAACATCTGATACTGGAGATCGCTCCTTAAATAACAAAACTAAATGTCTATTATTCGACATAAATGTCATAATGGCTTTATTTTACATTAAATACATACAATTCTGCTTTCTTAAATACATATATTTTTTATGTACTCAAAAATGTCCTCATACACCTGTAATTAGTTACTTAGCATTATGAAAGCATGTAATTAAAATGGCAAACAAAAATCACACTGCGAAGAAAATGTAAATGTTTTTAAAAGCGTTGACTTAATCATCTCGTAAATTAGCTTTTGTCATCTCTATTACAGAGCAGAAAAAAACACGATAACCAAGCACAACCATAATTGCAGCATTTTCATTTTTAGATTAGCTATATTTCCCCTCGGTTTCCGCTATTTGCGTCTTGCTGCATCACATTACCACATATCTGCATTCACTATATCCTCATGTGATCCAGAGTCTCCCATGCCAATATCTATGAACAGCATAACAGCTTGGTGATGGCCCCCTGGATATTAATTAAATCCTCCACTCCTCTTCCATAGCAGCAGTATCTGTTGCTATAGCACTAACAGGCATGGCATTTAAGCCATGCACCTCCCACCCACAAAATAATGAGTCTCTATGACATAAGAGGAGTAAACCGGCCGGGTGTATAAGCATATCATCCACATATGTAAATGTATACAGTATACACAAAGGACATAGATATCTAACATTTAACTGGGAACACGCAGCTTGAAGGAAAATCCAGACAGTCATTAATTGGGGCATTAATTAGTTTGAGAACAACAACACCCATCTTTTCTCATGGAGGCGAGAGATTAACTACGGCACCCTGAGCTCCAAGATGGAGGTGGATGAAGCTGCTGGGAGGGCCATCTCGGATGAGTTTTTATTGACTGGTGGAACGTAGCGGTGGCGGCCGGTGCTTGGGCCATGTAACGGTGCAGGCTAACTCAAGTCATAAATAACTGTAGTAAACGTGCTTGCTGTACACTGCGCAGAAAATGAGAAGGGCCCGTCGTAAACAAATCCATGCGAGTGTGGAATGATATACCGCCAAGTTAAAAGGGAGAGAGAGAGAGAGTCGCGGATCCATGCTGGTTCGAGGAGTTAAACGGAGATGTCAAAATAGGGAGCGTATTCTTCATGTCACGCCAGGGCTGGGGCTTTCTTCGTGGAAGCTGAAAAAGCTGGCCTAAGCAGCATCTTTGTGAGGAAACGCTTGCATACTATAGGCTGAGCTGTTTCTGTATACATTCATAATCACCATAATTGGGTAAATGAATGACAAAAACACCACAGTGTGAAGTAATTACTGGCTAGAGCAGCCAGAAGCCCTCCTTAAAATAATGAATTATTCTCAATAAATAAGTCTAGAAATCACTTTTAGTGGTACAGTTGTTCTAATACATATAACCACGGGAATTATAATGGTGTCCTTGCCAGGTTTTCAGTGGAGTGGTTTATTTGTAACACTAGATGTTCTCCCGTGCAACTGAGCTCTAAGCAATTAGCATAATCAACAGAGAAGAAACGTATATTTAGGAGATACCAAATATTAGTCTTGCAACGTGTCTCTCTAATACCAACCAGCGAGGCCTGGTGAAATATGTTCATTAAGCATTTGGATGAGCCGTGTTGAATTAGGCTCGCAGTCAAACCACATACACGATTGGCCTGTGGTTCTGGCTACTGGTGTACAATATGAAAAATAAATAAAAGCCTTCTCCCACTCTCTTTTTCCTCAATACGCAGTTATGTGAGTTTTTTTTTTTTTTTTTTGCCGGGACAAACACATTTGCATATTCATGAGCCATTGACACAGGCTTTATTGATGTACACTCTCCTGTGGGAGAGAGGACATTGGGTGGGAAAGAAAAGGGGAGAGAAAGAGAAAGTGAGAAAAACTCCAATCTTGTGAGTCATCATTAAAGAAAATAAACTAGGCTCACAGGGGAGTAGGGGAGGAAAGGGTGAGTTCATGGCTGAGGTCTAGGAAAGAGGAATGGAGGGACTGAAAGAGAAGAGATGTAAAAGGAGTAAACAACAGTTTGTATATCTATGTATTTGTCATTGTATGTGCATGTGTTTGTGTCCATGCCAACTGAGAGTGATCAAACACCGCTCTCGCTGCTCTGTGCCGCAGTGCCCCATTGATGAATAGGGAGGGGAGAGGGGGAGGAGGGGGGAGTTGGCAAGATGGGTAGCAGAGTAAGCCAAGAGACGTCCCAGCTCACTTTCTTTTTTCTTTTTTTTTTTAATTGGCCACACGGGATCGGTCTACCTGCATGACAATGAGAAGGTCGAAGACCAAAATGAAGGAGGCCAGGAAGGCTCTGGAGACCTCGTCGCTGGGCAGGAAGCCTCGGTTCAAGTTGTCCCAGCTGATCCAGTCGGTGCTGATGACCAGAACCACCACCGACGTCAGAGAGATGAGCACTGTCCTGCAGGAGGAGAGGAGAGAGGAGGGAATTAGGAAGGAGAGGAAAAGGAAGAAAACAAGAGGAAGGAACAAAAGAATAAGAAAGAAGAGGAAAGCACAGGAGGAGAAGGAGGGACAGGAGAAGGCGGGAAGGAAGGAAGGAAGGAAGGAAGGAAAAGGAAAGAGCCAATAATAGGAAAAGGAAGGATAGAAGAGCAGAGAAGGAAGAGCGGAGACAAGTGGACAGGACAGACAGAAGGAATTATAAAGGTAGATGAGTAGAAACAGTTAAGCAAGAAAAGGGAAGGAGGAAAGGATATAAGGAGGGGAGAAAAGGAAGGAAAGGAGGGAGGAAAGAAGGAAAATGAAGGAGAGGCGAAGGAGTGAGAAGAGAAGTAGAAAATCAAGGACGAAAAATAAATGAAAGGAAAGAAGAGAAGGGGGAAGAGGAGAGGAGGAGGGGAGGAAGAAAAAGGAAGGATGGGAGGAAAAGGAGGGAAGGAAAAAGGAGGGAAGGAAAAAGGAAAAGGAAGCAAAGAAGAGGAGGAAAAGGAGGGAAGGAAAATAAACAGAGAGAGGCAAGGAGAGGAGAGAAGAAAAGAGGAAGAGAGGAGAGGACAGGACAGGAAAAAGGAGAAGGAAAATGAAGGAGAAAAGGGGAGAATAAAATTAAGAATGACACACATTAAAAAGACCGTGGGAAAAAAAACCATTTAAATGTAATTTCAAAAATCAAACTACACAAGGTGCAAAGTTAACATTGTTGGATCTTGGAAGACAAATGACTCCACTTCCTCTCCGACGTCAAATGCAAGAAAATATAAATCAAATTCTATTCAGTTTCTCTTTTCATGGACTCAATAATGTATTGAACAATAGTTTTACCTGGGTTTGAAAAATGGCAACAGATAAAGCTTCCAGGAAGATGAATGTGTATAGAGAAAAAAATGAGTGTTTATGGATGCAGAGACAATGCAATTCAAAACCCTACTGCACACATATTTCCATGTATTTACATATTTAACATGAGCCGAAGTATTTCGTTTACCTGCATGCAGTGATTGCTGTGGTTTTTTTGCGTTCTTTCACCCTCTCTGAATTGTGTTTATGTTTCTGCATTCACTGTTTACTGGTAAATTTGTTCAGACATCTGAAGAGACGCACAATGACAAAGGCTAGTATTATTCTATACTGTTTATTTTGTCTCAATGTCACCCAGTGATTACTGTGCTGTTGTGTGCATTCTTGCACCACACATTGGGTGGCTGCATTGCAGATAGTGAATGGCAGCTCATATCCCATTTCAGCTGTTAGGGAGATACATTTTGAGGCTTTTTATTATTCCACAGTGGGACTTCTCCCCCGAGCATGGCCGACTTTTGGCACTGTCCTTTACAATTTGCCACGACCCCTCGGCGCATATTGACAAGATTCATCCAGCAACACATTTATCAATCATTATTTCAAGCTCTGAATTTCAAATGATGGCTCGTCAAATCCGGCATTGATTGTGACAGTGCGAGTCGGGCATCCATCAATAAAATAAAGGGCTGCAGAAAAAGTCACAGAACAATTCGTCTGCTTGCATTCTAATCACACGTGAAGAAAGCAGATGTTGAACACCATGGCTAAACTGTCTTTTTCAGATGTCCATGTCTTGAGCTCTCTGTGTACATATCAAACAGATGGCAAAGTGTTTCAACCATATCCTCTTCTCCACGTCTTCCACTTCTCACTATGAGCCTAAAATGAACCACGGAGAGGCGTTCGTATGTCATATTTGACTGACAGCACTGAGCCACGCTGTTGAATGAATACCGCTGGGACCGTGCACTGGTGGTGTAATCTGAAACGGGAAAGTTTCTACATGGTCGTCTAGTAATGGCCATATCAGACATGGTTTGCCGCATTTGTTTAGCAGTTATTTAGGGGTCACAGCTTGTGGTACGAGAAGTAAAAGGAAGGGCCATGGTTTGCCCTGCGACCTTGCTGTGTCCATTGATTTTCACCCTGTTCTTCTAATTAAAGGTGCTGACACTGAGTGAGGGAAGATTAACATGGCTATTGACTGTTTGTAACCCTGCAAAGGGCTGGAGAGACCACATATGCATGCACACATACACACATCCACAGAGCCTTGTAGGAATAAATAATGCATTGGGTTAGCTAGTAGAGACATTTATATGAAATGTACATGCAAGGAAAGACACATATGGACTCCTCTCCTGTCATCTTAAGAAGAAAATATACCAGAAGAGAACGATCCTGTTGTTGCCTTGTTTCCAGAACCTTCTGGCTGCTTTGCCCCAGTCTGGGTAGTGCTGATCCTGGAGCATCATATCTGTCACCTACAGAAAGTAAAGTACAAATAAAATGATTCAATTACTTAGGAAGACTGGATAAAGAGGAGGTTAAGACAGTTACGCTTAGCTAAGACTGCCAACAGGGGTAAAAAGCTAGCCTGGCTATGTCCAAATATGCCTTCTGTTTTATGGAGGACTGATGCTACATTATTTCTTGGCCTAGTGGAGTAACATCCTGAAAGTCACTTTCCACACTTTGGTTTTTGTATTAATTAAACAAACGTTATAACCTATACTCTTATACATATACTAACTAATGCTAAATAAGAAAATATGCTAAATGACACAGAGCTATAAACATGCATGAAGCCATTTATAGGCTTGCTAATGCCTGTTAAAATACTGTATATATATAAAATACTTTGTCACCCGGTGATGCGGGGCGGCCAGCGTCTGTCTGAATTGATATGTTAGTTGGTTCATTTTAGCTTTAAACAATAAATGATGTAATTGTACAAAACAAAGGACTGCTTTCTGCTAACCAGCTAGCTAGCTAAGCTTGGGTTGGCTGCGTGGTGTGAGTTTGGCATGGGCTTTGTGGTTGATTGGGTGATTTTAAATGGCAAGCTAGTAAGTAGTATGTCAAGTAAATAAAATATAGGAACACTGCACATAATGACATTATGGTTTTAATTTATTTTCTAGCATTCAGTTCATGCTTACTCGTGCCTACGGACTGTGTGCGAGGAACAGGACGCTGACTGCCGTTCACTGAACATTATTAAAAAAAATAATCTCAAAACTATAAACTGAAATATTAATTAATTCTTATTGGACACCAGTTCATTTGTGATTAAATACTGTTGAGTCTGTGGTTACCTTTAATAAATATTGCAGTGTTTCATTATTAATGTAATGGCTGTACCTGTCTTTCCACTGTCTAGACTTGGTGATAATGTTTTCAGAGTCAAAGATTTTCTTACATGGCTGCAGTTGTATCAGAGCAGTTTATTGCCCGAGTATAAAAATCCCCACTATATTCTTTGTGTGGAGCCGCTGCAGAGGCAAGGTCAATTTGTCAATAAAGCGCCTCACTGCAGATACTGTAGCTTTTAGAAAAAGGATTGGAATCTGTCTGTGAGATGTTTCTGGCTTTGCAGCACTGCAAAAACAGATACTTCCTGTTCATTCGTCGAGTGAAGATGCACTGTAAATCTGCTCTGTAGCAGAGACACAGAGGTCATCTTCAAAGTGCCTTGTTGAATTAATTGAATGTAAAAAAAAAAAACTTGTCAGTAATTTCTGGAATCAGCACTTTGCCTTGGTCTAACTTACACACGCACATCTCTGTTCTCCCTGATTCACCTTCTCACTCGCCGCTTCCCCCGTCTCCCTTCCGACCAGACTTCTACATCTCCCTTTCCCCTTCACCTCTGTTTCTTACTCCGTACCTCCCTCCTCCTTCTCCTCCCGTCTCTCCTTCCCCTCCCGTCTCTCCTTCCACCCGCTCTCTTTCTCTGCAGTATGTACTGTAGAATACTAATGTGACCGGTGAGGGAGCTTGTCAAGTTGTCTCAGCTGTGTGCATGCCGGTGTCAGAGCCCCACTCCTCCCACCACAGGTAGCCCACTCCCGCTGGAGCTCTCCTCCTCACTTTATGTTGACAAATGAACAGAGGTAGGTTTCTCCTCCAGCATACTCTGTCCCTCCCTGTGCATTCATTGTTTCCTCTGACCCTTCTTAGATCAAACTGCATCTTACTCTACGGATTTAGTAGCAGAATGAACTGGATCTGCACAGAGGGCTTTAAGTGTGTGCCTTATAACGGTTTAGAGAATCCACCTGACCTAGAAATTAGATAAGTGTGTGAGGAATGGCTGTACCATGTATCTTCTATATGATTTTAATATACTTAAATTAAGACTTGAAATGTGAAGACCTGGCAAAAAGTAGCCATGCTTGAGGCCCCGCAAGACTGTAAAGTTTATGACATAGAAGAAAAGAAACCCATTGATTCTATTTTTGTATGTTTACCACCGATAGTCCAAAGAATTTGCAGTTTGGCCTGAACAGACGATGCCAGAGGACTGCCACTGTTACTAATTAAATAATTCGAAAAGGTCCATCCACTGATCTTTGGCCCTGAAAGGATATCTCCAATTTATCCTCTCAGACTTGGCTCTTCATTATCAGACTTGGCTTAACTTTAATCAGCATAATGCCACATTCGCATCCTGTGGGATGGATGGATGTCAAGGCATGGGAAGGATTTCCATGTTTATGACATGTGAACATCATCTCATCAGACCACTCAAAATGGTTGTGTGACTGCAGCGTAGGTCGTGTGAGGGTTATATTCTATGCATAAACAATAAAGCAAAACTGCCTTGAAAATCAGGCTTTGGTTGATGTAAGGCATCCATGTTTGTTTTCCTATTCAGGCAGCCTCCTTTATCATTAAGCAAATTAGATATATTAGAAGTTTTAGAAAAGGTCAGACTTTAACTTTGCAACAAATTTTCTGGATATCTGTCTTTTATCATATATTATATTATTATATAACCTGGGGCGACAGAGCCTTCTCTGTAAAATTTAAATATTTATATTTATTTATTTGCAGTGTTACGAACTTCACATTAAAAGCATTAAGCTGGCGAACACAAATTTACTTTTATTTTGAAGTAGGAAATGCAACGTGTTTGTCAAATTAGCACTGACTGCTATCATTCATTAAAAATTAGTCTAGAAAACAAGACAACAGTAATTGTTTTGCATTTTTCGACACTGGATCAGCTTGAAGCGTTGCAGGAAGTAATGGAACAATAAGGAATAACCACAGTGAGCTGTAGAGAGTAAGATGAAGAGCTGCAGGCGACAGGCTGTACACCAACTTCTGAGCCAGGTTACCAGCTCCTTTCAGTTTCACTCTTGCGCACTCATGCTGTGTGCTGTATAAAATCAGATCTCTTGCTCACAGAAAAATGGAAAAAAAGAATGCTGGAGAAAACCAATTATTGCCCGACTTTTTCATTAAAAATGACGATAGCTTGTTTTGTTGCCCCCTGAATTCAGTGACCTTTAGTGTTAAACCACGTTTGCTGTTACCACCAGTAAGATTTTGACCCGTTGGCACTGGATGATAAAATCATTCATCTTCTGGGGATCATGAATATCGGCAAACCTAGCATGGCTAAAAAGATTCAAGATTGAAAAAAAAATTAATTCATGAGCTCAGTGATGCAAAATTAAATCATTCCTTTCATAAATTCCAAACTTATCTAATGTCCAGGATTCCTAAGAGTTGGAATCTCACCATCCAAGCGGTGACAAAGTCTCCCATCCACGTCCCCACTGCAGCAATCTTCATTAAGCTCTCATTCCTGATGCCCATGTACTCTGTCACCATGTGAGGCCTGCAGGGAAAGACCGAGAGTTAAAAGGACATAAAAAATGTAGTATATGTTATGAGGGTAATAAAGGCAGGCGGAAAAGGAAGGCGGCAAGACGACTGACAATAAGGGCCAACGGAGGGAGAGAGTCAGTGCAGGGCGAAAGAGAAAATGATCACTGACGCTAAGTATCATGATGCTAGCTGTCAGAGTCGATCAATATCAATTTAATCCTGTGAAAACAATGAGCGACGGCTCTACCTTGCATTAATCCCTGAGAATTGTAAACAATTTACACCAGTGCAATGGAATTATGCAGTATCACCGCTTTCATCTGGTCCTGTAGTGTTTGGCAAATTATCCACATGTTTGGTAAATTTGTCTCGTGTCTAGTTGATTTCAAATCAACACTGCCATCCCAATGAGAGTTAATGCACTGGATCTGAGCTCCTTTAACATCAACTGCGGCAGCACGGAAGCAAAATATATACTAGGCCCTGACACGCCATTAGAGAAACAATCTTGCATGCAATAGTATCTGATAAGAAATGACATGCTTTCTTAGGAGTCCTACTTACGCCTTCATCTCTGTACAGTAAGTGAAGATGAGAAGCTTTTGTTCAGCCCCGCAAACTCACTCACTCATCCAACACACACACACACACACACACACACACACACACACCACTCTATTTTCTCCAGGTAATAGCACAGGGAGGGAAAGTGGGTCAGTCGCCTCCTATATGGGACTTATGCCGGGGAGAGAGAAGGAGAACAGAGGGGAGCGAGGAGGCCTGTTTGATCTCCTGGCAGCCAGTGTCTTAGACGCTGAGTGGAGCAGGTGGGCGCCCATCACCTCCCCCCCAAGCCCCGACTCACCCCCCACAGGTCACACTCATGAATATAATAGATGGCGATGGATAGGGCACTGGCTGTGCTTTCAAGGGGTCGTATTTGAAGTCAATGGCTCCATTCGTCTTTGTTTTCCCTGGTCATTTTCTGGCCGCCAGCAAACACCAATAAAAATGTTTTCTATTGTACAGAGGGCTCTGGAAAATCTGGCCTACAACCTTGCTGGAGTGTATGTACGTATGCATGTGTGTATGTATTTTATATATACTAGGGTTGCATAATAAGTCAAAATATTATATATATATAAAGATAAAATGCATTTAGGATTTGACAAGATTTTATTGACAAAAAAGTGCAGTACCGCAGGTGACGTATTGCCTCGCTCAAGCCCGCAAATAAAACAGCCTTGATTGGAATGGCGATTTATATCTGCATTAAGTCAGTTAGACATTCAGTGGTTTGGCACTGCTCCAGTTACCAAGGAGATCCCATTGGGAGTCATTTACCCGCAGCAAAACTCTGATCGATACTTCTGGAAATGCTGTCTGGCACCACATGCTAGGCTTTAAATCTAAAAACACTACCCTGCCGCCAACCCCTGCCCTTCTCACATATTTAATTGAGCAAATGTTACCCCTGTGCTGAAAGAGAGGAGTTTTTTTTCCCTTCTTTTTTTGCAGAGCACCTATGATGAGTTTGGGGACTCTTCGCACGGCGTGATCAGAGGCAGAACTCTCTGACTTATTCATGCTGACTGAAAATTTAATGGCCTTTAGAGCCGGACGACCTAATGAGAGAATTCAGTGTAGTGGAACATCAGTACAGTAGCACCATGAATAATCAGCCCCAAAATGGCTCCCGTGGCTTAATCGCAGAGCCAGTGGCAGTGTCAGTGCCAGCACGGCCGGCTCAGCCAGCTTTGACCCTCTGTGGAATGTTATCAGGTTTCCCACACTTGTTCAGACATAATATTCAAGGACATTTCAATGCCTTTCAAAGTCTTGTTCCATTATATGCAACAAAGTACAATTTTGCGCTACAGACGGTACGGAGTTATATAGTTGGGAGTTTGCACGTTGCCCCTGTTTGACATTTTCAACTGAGATAAAGTGGTCATCTGCAAGATCGTTGCTTTTTGATCACCTTTGGTGATAAGAAGCCATTGTGATGTTTTTGAGATTGCTCGGCTAAAAACTATGTATTTGATTTTGATAAAGCTGTTGACTTTCTGATGGCTTTATAGTGCTCATGTTATAATTACACGATACATCATTATTTTTCCATCTATATTCACTCCTTTTCTACATAAAATGGATCAACTTATAGGTTTGTTTTCAGTACTCATGAATTTGTCGATTTAGCTGAAAATTGTAAAAAATAATAATTATAATTACAATTTCCTCAAGCGGATTTCTTAAAATGACTTTGACTGGCCTGAAGTCCAAAACCCAAACATATTCATTATTATTTAATCTGCAGTATTTTTTATTTATCCATTAATCGATAAGGAAAAAGTGAAAAGTACCCATTATATTAAACCTATATAATATTATTACAGCTGCAAATGCTCATACTTGAGAAGCTGAATCCAGCAAATGTTTGGCATTTTTACTTTATAAGAAGCTTACATGATTATCAAAATTGTTTGGGTTAAAGGTCCTGTCAACTAATTGTTTCAGCACCAAAGATATGATCATGTCACATTCTCATTTTACAATAGAATTAATTATTCAGGAGGCAGTGACACAGAATTTGTTGAAATAAACATTAATTTAATTATTTTAGATGTGGTTTTGCATACATTTGCCATATCAGTTGATCAAAAACATCATTCAATATTTGAATATTAATTTCAGCCATATTACCCAGCATTAAATGCAGGTACATGAAACCATGCAGTTTCACCGTAAAATATGTAGGGCTGCATGATACGATATGATTCGTGAAAATGTTGCATCACAAATTTAATTTTCATTTTTTACCTTTATAAAATTACAGCTTCTTCTACAATTTCTACAACTTGTCCATATTGCAATTTCGATGATATTGTGATTAACTGTGCAGCCCTGGAAAGATGGAGTGGATCTAAACTTTTAAAAGCCCATTTTATCAACAACCCACACTGTAGTATGGTGCAAAAACAATTTTACAATGCCACACTTGACTATAAACCAAGCATTTTCCACAACTTCATATATTAATCAAATTAAAAAGGAAAAAGCTTTATGGTTTAATTTTATTTTTATTAAAGTCCCAACTTAAGGATTTTCAAGACCCACAGGAGCCCTGATAATTAAGGTTATAAAGCAGCATGCTGAGAGAGCTTTCACTACTCTGAGTCATCACACACCCTGATTTCCATTAATTTTTTTTCACAGTCCACTTGGACGTATATGCCTTCATGCCTGGTTTTATAAACTTGTTATCTGTGTCAGACTGCCAGTGATTTAGTGACCGTGGCAACTGAGTGACCTCTTAAGGCTGGACTCATTCAGAACATTAAATTGCAACCTTGGCTGGCTCCACATTGAAATGCATTGCCTGCCTCCTCGCTGTGCACTACAGTGCCTAACATTGTATTTACAGTATACAATGCTGAGCAGAAGCAGTTACCAGGGAGCATAAAGCTGTCAATACACACTCTCTTCACTATCACTATACAATCTCCCAAGGCAACTTAAAACTTCTATCTCAATTCATCACTCAGCACAGAATCGGCCCATGCATTGTATTAAACTTGCTGGAGATTGAGTCCTTTTAGTCCTTATCATTCTTCTGGCTCAGGAGTAGGAGTGAATACCGTCGGGCAATATCTCGTACAGCATTGTATCAGGCCCTCCATTCCATCCATCAGCTTTTCATTGGAACTGAAGGACCCAAAACCAGGTGCACCTTAACACTGAGGCCATTTACATACACACTAGTATCCCCAACAAGTCCTTCATGGTGATTAGGTTTGATTAGTTAGGCAACAACTGTGATTAAAAGAAACCAACCTTGACCTCCTTCCTCTGCGAACCTTTCCGCTCTACAGTAACGTCACGTGACTTCCTCCTTTGCTACCAACGGACAAGAGTCAGGAATATACTTACTTTTACTTGTGCGCCATTTGTCTGCCACGTTTGCAGATGCAATTTGAGGTATGCAGTCCACACAGTCAGAAACCAAAGTGAGTTCATTCTCAGTCCAATTTTTTGATAACAGGTAAAATGTGCGACAAAACAGGATTATAAGTACTTTATTTCTGAAGAGGTGCCCTGGCCTACAAATCTTTTTCTCCAGATTTGAGGAAAACATGTTTGTTTGGTAAAGACCCCAACAAATGTCACATCATCATAATTTTAATAGTTTTTCATATCTAATCATATCATATATATAATCATATATTTATAGTATAAAATATATGATAGTATAGTAAGTCAAAATAACCAAAATATGATTTTGATTTTGATGATTTTTAATCATGACACACGTTTCCACTGGACAGCAGTGATGTGCAGTACACATAAACACAGACACATAATGATAACAAACATGATTGTTAACGAAACTAATTTCTCCCTAAAACATACAATTTTTTTTATTAGAAAAGTTTCTTTTTCAAATGGTTGCCTTAAATAACTCCTGGACTGTGTGTGGTATTTAGAAATGTCAGAACATGCTTTATGATTTGGTTTTTTATTGAAAAAGATCAATTAACGCAACAAAGGAGCACAACATGCAAAATGAACTATTATCAGATATAAACATTAGGTGTGGCTGTGGGACACGAACATGCACACATACAGGGGCACTCCGTCTGTCCTGTTATAAAACCCCTCCCCGCCTTTCATACTAATATTATATATATTTTATATTCCCAGTGGGCACACACCGCCGTCAAGGTTATGACGTTTATTATTTACTGGCTGTTTCTCTTTATGTGACAGAGACTTATTTGGAGGGCTGCAGCTACCACTGACGCTCCTCCACTCCGTCCCAGAAAACAGCAGGATAATATAATGAGAGAGGGAAATGACTTCACTGCTTCATACAGCTCACAGTTTCAGTTTCAAACATATTCTGAGAGAGAGAGAGAGAGAGAAAATGACTTTACACTAACTAAATATCCATTCAATACATAATGAGTCATTTCTGAGATACCAACGTAATGTCCGTGTGTAGGAGTGTGAAAGACAGCAGGAGATATGCTTAGAAAGTAGATGTGGGTGTGTTGAAGTATGAGAGGCAGAGTGAGGAAGGTTAAGATAGATCAATTAATCTAAACTGCAAGATATTTACTGCGGTTTACTAAAAGGTTTCTTTATCATTTCTCATTAGTAAAAGTGTTTCTGACAGTGTATTATGGTGTCCCAAATATTATGTTCAAACGACGAAACTGAAAATCACCTGATTTAAACATTGATATTCCTAAATTATTTTGTAACTGTATGTAACTGAGCCTTATTGGGGTTAGTCACTGTAATCTAATTGCCGAATTTCAAGTTTTAGGGGTAAGTAATACCATATGCTACTCATTACTGAAAAAATAATCACATTACTGTAACTAATTACTAAAAATGGGTCATTTACTAGCCAAGTAATGGGTAATTATCTGCCTATTTACAGTACATCTACTGTTTATCGCAAACTGAGACAGTTTGTTAGTTATAATTTTCAGCATTAAGTAAAGGCCAAATCATAGATCCCATTGTCAGAAATATGCTGTTGTATGTTGGCAGCAGCAAGGTCCCGCGTGTGGCTGCATGCAACAGGAGGCATCTACATACCACAACATGCTATTTATTCAGCCTTCTAAATCCACTTGTCCATGGTATTACCCCAGCTTAGTGCCAGACAAGCACACAGACAGACGAGGGGGACTAGCATGCACGCAGCACAAAGGATCATGGTAAACAAAGACAAATACCCTCATATGATGAAGTCTATTCCCACTCAGGGTATTGTTGTAGTCAAAATGCCACATCCATCCCTCCCTGCTTCGCACCAAAGACATCCACCAACTGCACCCCTCCCTTCTATCCCTTGCTTCACTCTTCCATTGCTCAGCTTTTCCCTATCCTGAAATCTATTCTTTTACTGAGCAACAAAGAGAAGAAGTATGGAAGTCATTTTACACTCCCTGTCCCATTAGAACTCCCTATTAGATCCCCACACACTCCCTCCCTACCCTCTCCCCTCCACCTTCACATATTCACCACCCCCTTTCTCTAAATTAGACATGATTAATGTGTACGCCACGCATTGGGCCATCTTAATTAAATAACACCATCTAATTAGGGGCTGATTCAGCTGGTAATGGTGCCGTAAGATGGCGGAATGGGATTGTGCGGCGTGCTAGTACATTCATGAAGTCCGTCAAACTCCCTGGGCGGTCACACTCCCCTGGTTTCAAACAAACAGCCCCCTCCTAATCTGACAGTTACATTAAAATGCAAATAGCCCAGATGTGAGGGTTTGGTAACAAGTGTGGATTACAGCTCCCAGGGAGCTACGATGGACAGGCTTTTTCCTGATGTGATGTAAACCAGGTAACAGGTTGATAGCTTTTGACCTGTTTAAATACTAATCACTGTGGGACACGTGTAAGATCTGGAAATCTCTTTGAGTTGAGTCGTAATGGCTTTGATGAATCTGTTTTATGTGACTAATTTTGAATAAATACTTGTCATCCAATACAATATACAATCTCTGATTGTACACTGTCCTGATGGTGCAGTTTATCTTCTTTCCTCGTGGATGTATGACTAGTTTTAATTAAATCAAGCTCAAGACCGGCTGAAAGGTCAAAGAAAATTAAAGCATATTAATGAGGGAAGGGCACGGGCAGCGCACAGCATCAGGTCAGGGAGACAGCAGGGAGACAGACGCCAACAGCCCCCCCCTCCCACCCCTTCCTACCTCACCACACATAAACTCATACACACTCTCACACACA